TCACCTGAACTTGGATCAAATATAGAACTCAGATTACCATCAATAGCGTTTTTCAATCATGTCAGTATCACAGTTCAGGTGATCTAAGTTTAATTTATATTGATAGTTCTGAATCGAGGGACTTCTGAAAAAAACTGTTGCTCTATGTCAGTTTGACGATTTTAAACTTATGTACTCTACTTGTTGCTGGTAATTAAGAAGGATACCGATGCAAAAAACAGAACCATGACTTTAGGAGTTAAAATATATTTTATTATAAATGTTATTATCTATGAGTCCTCCTTCTATTTTGTTAATTATTCCGTTAGCCGTTTTCTTACTCGAACGAAAACTTGCCTATTCTCTTGGGTAGGTACATGATACATTAATATGAATTAAGTAGGTAGCAATTTCACCATCGTTTTTACTTATTACTTGGAACATAAAATGTAAAAAAATTGTGAAATATATTTATATTGTGTTTAAACCCCTAACTTTGACAGTTCAATTTTTCGGATAGTTTAAATTAAGTTTAGACGTGAACTACATTTGAAATACAGCATCTTCCAATTAAACCCAGTTCATTTAGTGAACTTAGTTTAAACTTTAATTGAAAAACTGGCCCTAAAAGTTTTAAGAAAGTTTAATATGTCAAGATTGTGCACACTCTGTATATAGACAAATAATCTGTAAATTTGACAATAAAAAAGAATAAATCTTTATTTTTACAATAAAAAATATACACTTAATAAACCATTGCACAAGAAATTCTATAAGTATGATAAAGCGGTATCATTTTAATTTCTTATAACTTATTTTATTTATTTATTTATTTATTTATTTTACAAACTGTACTACAGGAAATTCCCAATTAAAAAACACGCAAAATATGACAAAACAAATATCTCAGAAAAATACAATGTATAAAATTACAAAACAAAAGAATAAAGATTTAAGAAAGAAAAAAAAAATACAGATTATTTAAAACGATAAAATAATCACAAAAGAAAATGTTTTATGTCCAAAATTCTAATGTTAAATATATCCAACTCAGAGTTACTGCACATGACATATAATGGAGATTTGCTTAAAATGTTGGTGCAAGGAGTGGTCAAGTAAAAAGAATTATTGCATCTAGAAGTTTGGCGGGAAATCCTAAAATTTACCATATGCAGCAGGACTTTACAATTTATTTTGTTGGTTATGACTTTGTGCAGTATAACCACTGAAAAATACCTTGGTGCAAGACTCGAAAAACTATGTCATACTAACACTTCGTTATGTGAGGTGCCAATTGGAGGATACACTTGGTCTTCTCGGAAATTTAAATATTTGAGAAACCGTCTTTGAAGAGCGTCTAACTTGGTAAGGTATACCTGGTAACTGAGACTCCATATAACCGAAGCATATTCAAGTTTTGAGCGGATAAACGCATAATAAAGACAGTTCCGAATTATGAATCCGTACATGCAGCTTGCTGCAGTTAATATAATAATAATAATAATAATAATAATAATAATAATAATAATAATAATAATAATAATAATAATAAAGGTCTTTATTGTTTTCATTACAGCATTTTACAAAATTAATATTACTAATAGTTTATTAAAGAAAACAAAAGGCGAAGTTCACTTTCCAAAGTTAAAAAAAAAACACTTGGAAAATGTTCTTCCACTTAACCCAATGATGGTGTTTATATACATATGTAAATACGAGTAGGTATATGAACTAAATCTAAACATATTGAAAAATCAAAATAAAAACAAAAAACTATATCTTTATATTTTTATATTTTAGAGGGGACAGGTAGAACAATTACGATTTAAGTGCATTGTTTGCTAAATAACAAGGTTTTGTATTTACATTTGAAAGTAAGAGGGTTAAGATTTTTAAATATAATAGGAATAGAATTATACAATTGAAAAATTTGATATGAAAACGAACGTCTAAATAGTTCGGATCTAAATTGAGGTGGTGATAGTAGACCTTTGAATCTTAAATTTAAGTTGTGAACATCTGTCCTAAAGGATATTTTTTTGTAAAGATAAATGAGGATTTTATACAAGACAATTTTGTGGTATAGCGTAGTTGCATGATGAATTCGTCGGTTTTCCATATTTAGCCAACCGATTTCTTTGAGTGTATGTGATATCCTTTGATATTTTCTTATACCGTATATGAGTCTTAAGCAACTGTTTTGTATTTTTTGTATTTTTTTTTTGAAGGTTACTGTTAAATTTGGACCATAGACAGAATCAGCAAAATTAAAATTTGATAGTACAAGTGATTCACATAGTGATATTTTAATACTTTTAGGCAACAACTTACGATTACCGTATATCAATTTTAATGAGCTATAAGCTCTCTGAGTCAATTTAGTGATGTGTTTTTCAAACCTTAATTCAGAATCAATTAAAACTCCTAAGTTTTTAGCTTCATTTACTATGGTTAGTCTATCATTATTAATTTCAATACCTAATTCTTCAATAATTTTGTCACGATTACGACTTGATCCAAACAACATCACATTAGATTTTGAAGCATTAATTAGTAAACAGTGCTCAGTTGCTGATCCAACAAAAGAATTCAAATCACGATTAATTATCTCACACGCATTTTGTGATAGATCTGGAGGGAAACTGTAATAAATCTGAGTGTCATCGGCATATAGGTGAATTTTACAGTTTTCTAAAGAATTAATAAGGTTCGAAGTGTATATTGAAAAAAGCAGAGGGCCTAAAATGGAACCTTGGGGTACGCCCGAGTGAAGATTTAAAGATTCTGATTTATGTTCATCGATTTTAACACATTGTTTGCGATTTTCCAAAAAATCTTTAATAAATAATATAGCGTTGTCAGCAAAACCTATATAATGCAAGATGCTTAATAATAAATTATGATTTATCGTATCGAAAGCTCTACTAAAATCTAATAGAGTTAAGATAGTACAATGCCCTTTATCAGTTGCAGTAATGATATATATATATACCGTCAGTGTGGTTATTGAAGGATAGTGCTTAATCAAAAGTAACGCCTAAATCCACAAAGTTATTTGGTCTGCATAATAAAGTGTTGCTTATAGGGTGATTGTAAGAAATTGGATCAGAGCTTAGTGAATAAGACATGACATTACACTTTGAGCGATTAAAATTTAGATTAATTTCCTTACACCATTCCGTAATTCTCAGAGGACTTTCAGATAGCCTTTCACCATCCGCGACGTTCTTAATTGTTCAGTAAAATTTAAAGTCGTCGGCGTAAATTAAAGAATCAAGATCAACTACGTCCACGATGTCATTCACGAGATTGTTAAACAGCAACGGGCCTAAATTTGATCCCTGAGGAAAACCAGAGATGGCAGAATATTGATCCTTAAATCCACTTAATACGTATTGTGTTCTGTTGGTGAGATAAAAAGCCGAATAAGATTGTTTGAAAGTCCAAAAGAGGCTAGTTTTTTTACCAAAATGCCTTTATCATTTCCGTATAAATAACATCTGTCTGAGTTCGGTTGTCAATGTTTTCTGAAATATACTGCGTAATTGAAGACACAAGTGAATGGAGGGCCTGTGTAGCAAAATAATTTTTACGAGATATTTCGTGTTAAAGTTTATTGTTTGGCAGTTATTCCTTTATTCACTAGAAACTTCTATATTTGATGATATATTATCACGGAAGACTTTTTAAATGAATTTTAGTTACATAAGCCCTTCATTCACAGAAAAACACCATTTTAAAAAAATGTTACATAGGCCCTTCATCCACTTGTGTCTTCAATTATGGAGAGTTTTTTAACTGTTGAACGACCTTTTACAAAGCCATGTTGTCGATCCGATATTATGTTGCGGACGTGTTGGTAAACTGTACGTTCCAGCAACATTTCAAACACTTTACTGAAGTTATAGGTGATAGGGATAGGGCGATAGTTATCCACCTTAGTTTTATTTCCTTTTTTATATATGGGACAAACTCTAGACACTGACGGTATGACGGATGCAGCACAGTCTTTTAAAGAAAGGTAGGAATATGGTCAGGCCCAGTGGTCCGCTTGGGCTTTACTGATTTTAAAGTATCTAATACTTGGTTTTCTAAAAAGCTAGTTATGTTTACTAAAAAAAGTAGCAAAGTCATTTAATATATCTGATGGAAAAAGAAGAAAGTTACCTTCATAGATCATGGTATTACCAACTTTATTGAAGCATTTTTTATTATTGATGTAAGCCCAGAATTTATTGGAATTAATCGATATTTCTGATTCAGCTCTTTCAAGATTTTGTTTATTATACCTGTTAATTAGTAGAATTACTGAAAATCAGTAATTATTGCTATAATTATCTTGTCACGAATTGCATTTAAAAATAATTAGATTTTAATTAAAGATAAAATAAAGTTCTTTCCAAAAATATATTTCAACTCAAATTTTATTAAAGCCATTTCCAAAAATATAATTTTCTTTCAATCTTTTTAATTTCGAGTCAATTCCAATTTGTGTTTAATATTACATTTAAAGTTATTTAAAACAATAACAATCTTTTCGTCTAGTAATTAAAAACTTTATTTTATGTTGAAAGTAAACAATGCACTCAATTCGTTTATGCTGATTCTACAATTTCAAAACAATGTTGGGGTCAGCTAGCCAAATTGACAAAACAAAAAATAACAACATTTTTGGCACAATCGAGGCTATAAGTTCTTCGGCTGTGACATAAATCGGCAGTAGGTAATACTCTGCTGTATTACAGTAATAAAAATAAAAATAAAAAATAAAGTCCTGAGTCTACATTAACAACGTCTAGTGATATCGTTTTGAATGTTTGAAAAATATACTCATTATCGTCTCTCTACCTTTTATAGTTTATAGTTCTAAAAGTTGTATTATTGATATTGGTTTTAGCATCTGCTTCGATTTATTTTAAAAAATGTCTACCAAATCTCAGTTCTTTATTTTTCAAATCCATTTAGAAAAACAATTAAATGCATTGAAACTTTCGCCTTAAATTAGGTATGTTATTCCTTACCTAAGAGACTGTGCAAGAACATGAGCGAATCCAATGAAGAAATTAATATCTTCGGGCACTTGTACAAATCCGAAAAAGCTTGATACTCGAAAAGGAAAGATTCACAAATCACCAAATCAAAACGGCTTTCGTTACTCATTAACTTTTTCACAGAATCGGTAGATAACTGGTATTCGAATATTTGCTCGTACGCAGTGGTCATTATTTTCAAAAATTGGAACCGAGATGCTTTGTGGGTATTTTGATAGAGATCGTCCATTATTTTGTAGGATTCATGCACGTCTATTTCTTTTAAATTTGTTAGTTTTGGATCATTCATAGGGTCTGTTGTTATTAATGTCACTTCATGTCCTTTTAATGATAATTCTATCCATATTTTTCTAAAAGATATCTGATGGCTGTAAGAAGGACTAGGAACTATTGCTAAAATTTTTGATGCACTAACACCTAGTAATGTCAATGAAAAACAAAAAACTACACTTTTGCATAACATATTCTATTTTTTTTTTTTATTTAAAACACGATAATCTTACACTATTAAATATTGTACGGAAAGTTTCTTTTATAACTAGAATAGTTTGAATTTATAAATTTATCTAATCTAATCAAATAAAAAAAATGCGCAAAAACTATTAATTTTATAACCTAGTTTGATACTGATTCTTAGAAAAATAGAGATACATTTTTCGAGTGGATAATAGAAATAATAATAGTTTTGTATTAAATCAGGTTAAAATAGTATATTATTATTAATTTTTCAGCATCGACAAAAAGATGGGCTGTACTAAAATCGCATATTTCGGGAACGGGAATAAAAAGCCATTGAGTGAAATACGTTGGTCAAGTAGAATTGATGCGATAGAACCTTTACGTTATCAAATTGGTCAGATTTATGATGCATTAATACAAATAATGGGAAACAGCTCTTCCTCAAACGATTTAAATAGTTCACATCAAGCACGTTCGTTAGCTTCAAAAATTAAAAATTTCACATTTTTATGTTCAATAATTATTTGGTATAACCAGAGATAACCAGGAGATGTAACTACTCACAAATATCGTGCGGCCGTGAATAAGACATATTCTAAGGGACACAGTAGGACATAATATCCGCTGTTGTCATTGTTAGTAAAGTGTATGTATTAAAATATTCGCTCAAGAAAACGATTCACTTCCCACTCTTTTGTCACAAGGCTGAATTTTTCACAGATGAAAGGTCATGATAAGGTAACCCTTATTCCGGAGTTAATACAAAATTAGAGTGTGCAGAAGGGCATTATCATCAAAAATCCAGATATTGATACCACCGAATAGAGAAAAAAATACTCATTTTTTGATCAAATGCACAATAAAATCTTTGTAGGGAGTAATTGTTCATACTTATTTAAAAAAAATCATTTACATTAGCACTTACGGCCGAAAAAAAATATAAACGTAAATATCTTGGTTTTAGCCCTTCAAAAATTTAGTTAAAAAGTCGTCTTTTTTAAATATACCACTCATTTAACAAAAAACGAAGGCCTAAATGAAAAAAAAAAACATTCTTTATAAAATTTTTGCTTATGTGTTGACAAGGTAACAGAGTAAACACCATATTTTTAGCTTTTGAATTAACAAAGATATAACAATAAACGATGAGAGATGTCATAGGTTTATGCTGTTATTAATTCTCACCACCAAATTTATCGACTCTCAGTGTATCTTTCTCTTCACCTTCAAACGTAGCATAGCTCTGTTTCTCTCTACGTGCCGGCTGATGTATCACATTATTGATATGGTAGGATTTTTCATTTTTTTCATTATAAAACTTCTCGTTATGTTCCATTGGGCAATGTGTCATATTGTTATCTGTTTTTACTAAAGAATTAATAAGTGTATGTGTTATATATTAAATTACCTAATAAATTGGGAAAAAATATAGACATTTATGCATCTTTATTATATCTACATTCATCCTGTTGCAGCTGAATATATTTGGGTAAGTTATAAGTTTTCGTTTAAAATTTTAATTACGGATTTGTTGCTGCAAGTAGCAAAGACAAAAATGATATCAAAATAGGAAAGCCCAAAAGTTGCATATCATTTAAAGAACATGCTCATATATTTGTATTATTTTTAGAAATAAATTTAATGTTCAAATGATAGATGTGGTATTTGATCATTATAAAGGACATTCTATCAAAAAGAGAGGATTTCAGAAATCAATTGATATAGAAATTGACCGACCCAATATTTCACTTCCGCAATAATAGAACTTGTTTATTCATTCGATATTTAACAAAAGACATTTAACATATTTTTGCTAGAGCAACTTCTTCAAAACTCGCGAAAATCAATAAATATGGAAAGAATTTTGAACCATCAAAAGACGATTTTTTAAATTCAAATCACGAAGACGCTAATAATCGTATCTTATTGCACAGCCAAAAATTCGGGGCATTCACGCTGCATTATTTATTGCAACGATACAGATGTCTTATTAATTTATTTTAAGAAGTTTATGACTAAAGATATATGGTTCAGAACAGGGCGAGGAGACTCAAGACGATTTCTAGCAGTACATTATTTAAATTTGGATGAAAACCTTCTAAAAAATGTGCCTGCTTTTCATTTTCTGACCGGTTGTAATACAACCAGCTAATTGTCCGGCATTGGGAAAAAAAAACCTGTTGGAAAACCTACCTTGAACACCATTACTTTTTGGATGGATTTGGCATTGATCAGTACTCTGAAAACATATTCTCTAATCTTGAAAGAATTTTCATAAAAATTTATTCAAAACTGCCAATGTTACTTCCATTAACATTTTGAGGGAATTATTGGCCTCTTTAAAAACCATCGCTAAATTGCCACCGACTGAAGATGCCCTAAGACTACATTGTTTAAGATGTAAATTTGCAAATGCAGAAAAAAAATATTTGCTGTATCGGTTCCTGCACCTGTATGGCACAGCCGCTAATTTTTGGAAAATGTTGATTCGTGTGGTGAATCTGATTCTCTGATTAGTTTGAAAGTCGTGTAATTATAAATTTTAATATTATTAATTTATGCTTTATATACTTCCTTCCATTTATTAATATTATTATAATAATTTATTTATATTGGGGATTTATTTACTGTTTATAATTGATACTTCAATAAATACATTCAATAAATAGTTTATATTTTCTTATTTTTCATTTTCCACCAAAAATAAAAAAAAATCTTGAAGTAATTAATACACCCTATTATTCATAGTGGATAAATCAATAATCCCTGTATAAAATATTATAAGAGAGTCAATACTGAGATAGATGCATAAAGAGTCGAGAGGCTCTGCCTTTAATGTTTGCTTTCTAGTAAAACAATGACATCACTAATTGTTTATTGCTATATTTTTGTTAATTTAAATACGAAGAATATGACGAAAGTACTTTTACCTTGTCAATACATAGGCGAAACTTTTATAAAGAATATTTTTTTTCATTTATGCCTTCGTTTTTCGTCAAATGAGAGGTATATTTCTAAAAGAACATTTTTTATACAAATTTGTAGACGGTTGAAACCGAGATATTGACGTTTAAATTTTTTTTTCGATCATAAGGGCTAATGTAAATGATTTTTTTAAATAATTATAAAAAAAATACTTCCTACAAAGACCTAATTGAGCATTAGAACAAAAAATAGCCATTTTTAACCAAATTAGATGTAATTTCATTAAATTAGATGTAATAATTTTCAACAAATTCCAAAACCTAGTGATGTTAGATTGGAAGTGGCAACAGGGCTTACACCGGCATGGAAATTTACGTTATGTAGTATAAGCTCGCGCAGTTATTCATTGATAAAACTACGTAAAATTCTTCACTCTATCCCTTCTCTTACTTCTCACCTTTCGTCGCCTCGTCCCGCGTCTAGAAATAGAATGTATACAGTACGAACTATTGTTGGCACCATGAATATTATATTTTATGAATGACTGCTTATATCTCTGTTATCTCTGGGTATAACATTTTGTTCAAAATAGATTCGATTAGCAAAACTTTGCAAAATCCGGAAATAAATATAAAAATTAATATAGATTATTTAAATAATTTAATAAATTATTTTTCGACATTGAGATTAGGTGAAGGTTTTAATAAACTTCTTGTTGACGTTCACGAACTTGCTGAAGATCTAGAAGTTGAATCAAACTTTTCACTTTCTCAGACTATTCGACGTAGAAAAAAAAAACGAAACAATTTAATTATGAACATGATGATGAGCCTATAACCGATGCAAAAACTCATTTCAAAGTGAATGTTTTTTTCTCTATTTTGGACCGCATACTGTCATCTTTACAAAAGCGATTCAAAGGATTGCAAAGTTTTAACATGTTTGGATTTATGTATAATATGTTCACCTTAACAAATGAGATATTGTTAAAATCATGTAAACATTTGAATTCTTTTTTGATGGATGATTCTCGTAACGAATTTGATATTGATGCATCTGATTTATATGAAGAAATTAAAACACTCAAGATTTACTTTGAATCAGCTTCAACTTCAGAAGCTTCTCAACAAGATCCTAAGTTAATTTTGAAGTTTATATTTCAAAATCAAGTATTGTCAACTTTTCCAAATATTTCAATAGCCCTTAGACTTTTACTCACTTTGTCCGTATCAGTAGCCTCGGGAGAAAGATCGTTTTCTAAGCTAAAAATTATTAACATTATTTGAGATCTACCATGTTACAAGATAGACTCAATGATTTATCTATAATTGCCATAGAAAATAATATTATGGATTCTCTGAATTTGGAAGAATTGATTAGGGATTTTTCCGAAAAGAAAGCAAGTAAAACGATTTTTCTATGATTTCTCACAGTAGAGACAATGACAATCCATTTTTAAACTAGTAAAAACATGTCATTCATGTCATGTAAACTTATTATTCAGCTAGTAAATTTGCAGCAACAATGCAACAAAAAATAAATATAATTTTATAGTATATTCATTAATGTTAAACTAACTGATCCGATTGTATTAGATCAACTAGATGTCACTTTGTAATGTTATAACATTTTTATTTTTGTTATATAATGATGATGAAGTGATATATAACAGAAAAAAAGCTTTTATAACCTTCCGGACAAATCCTACACTCTCAAATAATATAGAATACAAAAGATTAGATGCCATAGCAAAAAAGATAATAAAACAAGTCAAAAGGGAAAGTTGGAAAAATTATTGTCTATCTCTGAACCAACATTCTCCTATTAAGGAAGTTTGGCAAAAAGTTCGTTCATTAAAAAATCAAAATTCTTCAACAATTCCTCCAGTAAACATCGAAACAGCTGAGTGGATACCAGAATTTCATTTGAAACTAGCCCCGCCATTCGTTGTTCCATGCCCTCGTAATGATTCAGAATTGGAAAATAAATACCTAGCCACTTCAACCGAAAACTCCAAAAACTTATTAACACCATTCTCTTAAAATGATGATATTGTTTTGTATACTTAGCATAAAAGTATTGATTCTAGTATTTATCAACTATCATTAGGTGTAGAAGACATACAGAAATGGT